CATACGTTGTCAAGACCGATATAAGCTGACGTCACCATTGCTCGTACTGCTGGATCTTACTAAGTTGAACCTAGTAATACTAATATAGGAATATGTGTGAACAGTCCACAACTGTTTATAAGATTGATACGCAATTGATATACTGTCAAAAACAAATAGGCGAATGATATTTATGCAAACAATATAAACCAATGTAGCGTACGCACTTTTACTCGCGAGACCCAGTGTGGGTGTGCAACTGTTAGTTTTCAGTTTGTATCTGTATTTGTATCTATTTTGCGTAAAAAAATCCGCTTGCGATGCTGGCGAAAATAAATGCGGCCTACATTTATAGTTGTATATATTCTAAACTGTATTCGAAATAATATTGCAGTGGTTTAATTTTGTTTTAATTATAACTGTAGCTTGGATAGGCATTTGAAGTGCTTGCAGTTGAACACCATGGAGGCCATTCATGGAGGGGAATAAAAAACGAACGAACATATTTAACATCCGGGTACTTTTCAAAGCTATGACTTTTTAGTATCTGACCTCATTCGTATACGCCATTGTACATAGCCGTTCATGCTGCAAAGCATTGTGTAATACTAGTATAAACTCAATTTTTATATGCACAATGTGTTTTTTAGAACTTGGGTTAGAGCATTATACGTTTGAACCACAGTATTTTGAAAGTGGAAGCCCAGTTGCGTTAAAGTACCGTACTTCCCGATCGTAAGCCCCTCCCGAGTATGAAGCCCATCCCTCTATTTTTACTGGATATTTATCGAGTTGAGGGCATTCACGATTATAATACAGGGCGTCGACAATATTTTTTAAAATATGCGTGTAAAAAGTATGTTTCATTTCATAATAATCGGGATTAGCATGGTAGTTTGGTGCGTGCTTTTATGAGAAAACTCGCATTAATTTCAGAGCGCATGGCGAACGTACACAACGTGGTTCCATCCTTTCTATTCTTTCATTTACTCGGGATGAACCCCGATGGAGTAATCCATATTCCTTTGAGTAGTAGCTTTTAAAAAGCCCAAAAAATGTGATCGTTATTAAGTCGTATACCTGGTTATAGGTTGTGATAAGTTGGTGACCGTGAAAGGTGTTTAAATTCTTCATCCACACTCAGTTTACCAACGGTTACTATTATAATAATAATTTATTGACACTTACACATTCCCCGGAGGGATTGGCAATGGTTACAAAGGTTTAAGAAGGAATAAAAGGTTACAAAGGTTACAAAAAAGTAAATAGATAAAACAAAATAAAACAAACAAAGCTAATACATTACAGAGAATAACCAGTATAAAATTAGGATACTATAATAGATAGAAAACAAAATGCAAAACTTGTGAAAGAAGATTGTCACTATTAACCGTCGTTTACTTTTCGGAAATTGCGAATCGCCAGTTTTAGGAAACATACATCGTTCTTTCGTTGCAATCAGTGCTACAGATTTTAACATTGCGGTAATTCACGTCCGCATTGCGTTAAAAAATCATCCTCAATAATCGGAAAATTTCATCATTACGACACATCATTTTGATTGGTTAATGAAAGACATGACCTGTTAGGTCAAAGGAAGTTGTTTCAGGTCAAATCGTGCTGAAAAATCTCATGGTGAAAAATTGCTTTGCGTCGAGAGTTTGCGTACGATAATGATAAATGCCTTCGTCCACTGTTTCCTCACAGACCCTACCCATTATTACACCGTAAATTCAGACGGTATGTAAATCGTATTGTAATAAAATGTGTGTGTTTTTGATGAACATGTTTGTTTCTTCATTGTAAGTGTCGCATTTTTTTCTTCAAAAATAAGTATTATTTTCCCGAGCCCGGCGTGGTGAACGAATAATTTTTTTTGGATATTTTTTCGTTGTTGGCAAGATGGTTACAGCGGGGGTTACAGTGTTTAACCCCAAAACAAAATCATCTTTTCTGAGTTGGTCCTCGAGTATAAGCTCACCCCTTACTTTTCCCTTACGTGTTCATATGCCTCCGGGCTTATGATCAGGGAAGTACGGTATACTGTGAAGATTCAGATCAGTCCGAGTGAGTGATGAGAGTATATCGTCGACGACGCCCCTTGTTCTGATGATAGTTTTATTTCAAATTACCCGGAAGTCTGTCAACAATCTGCTTGGTGTTCCTGTGACAATTGTCCCATGATTTGCCAGTGCAGCCCCTTGAATAAATGGACGAAAATGTTTCCACCACCACCCTACGAACTCAAGATTGCATACTCCAGCATCCATACTTTGAAATAACTTGCACGCACAGTGCAGTACTGGAAACAGCATTTATTAGACAGTTAGACAAAAAAATGCCTGGCTCGATCAATCGCACATCCATAATGTTTGTATGTTGGTACGCTTAAAAATAATATTAACGTAAAAGTCGAAACAACCTAGACTAGAAGTCAATTCACCAGTCCAGACAACTATGGCTCCCTAAGTTGTTTATATTTAATCAGATACTATTTCGTCATCATGCTTTGTTACCTTTCTGGTTTATACCTCGCGAGGGCGTTGTTTTATGGCAAGATGGCGCAAACGGAAGTCCTTCGCAGGTTTATGGTTTCTCATAATTAAATCATCATAACTCTGAAGATAATCATGTTTTATTTATTTATTTATTTCAAATTTATAATCAATATACATAACTTGATAAACAAAAACACCAAATTAGGCTTCATTTAGTTCCCCTTTAAAGAAGAAAAATGTTGTCTATGACTGAATAACTGGAGATTAAATCTTGGTTTGTTGGCAATAATTTCGTTCCAACAACAGCGCGATACAAAACGTTGCTTAGCGATAACCTTACGCGTTGCCCACGGCACGTGGACTATTGATTATATATATATATTTCAAGTAGATGACCTTTATCTTGCCTGAATTTTGCAGAGTCACCGTGATAGCATGGTCCCCCTGCGACATCTCCGTAAACCCAGGGAATAGTTTGTACGAGAGAAATATACCAACATTTACGCCTGAAATGATAAAAAAATACTAAATTATTATTGAGTACAAAAAACATTCAATCCATTTACTAAACTTATTTAGAGAAACGTGTAATGTGTTATTTTTTGTTGTTGACGGGATACAAAGGGTATATATTGTCCACCACATGAGGTAAACTCATCCACATGTAATACGATAACAAGGTGTCGTTACTAGTTTGAGTTTTAAAGGGCGATTGTTGCCGGTTGTCTGTTCGATATGGAACTCATAGCGACATATACAACGCGTGTAAAATACATTCATTGTTCACATGGAATTCGAACACGCGCTGCGCGACGACCGCCTCCTGTTAAATTATGGCTGGACATGGTCTTACTACGTTTATCATGCACCCGGTATACGGAGATTTCGGCTTGGGGAAACAGTAACAGCTTAAGTAGTAATGTGCAAACAATTCCGATAGCCCGGTATCATTCGGACTTTGTTACACGGTTGTGTAAGGTGGGACTATCACGTGACCACAAATCAGCACGGTCATATGGTATAATAAGTAGATGTTGGAATATACATTTGAGTAGCCACTGCAGCACGAACCTTATTCATGCGATCGTATACACCAGCCATCATTTGCGGCACATCAAATTCCCACGCAGATTAAGCAGTCTAAATAACCATGCCTACCTACAAGTTACATTACTTCAACCTCCAAGGCCGCGGGGAGATCATTCGCTTGGTGTTCGCTGCAGCGGGCGTTGAATACGAAGAAATACAATACGAGTTTAAAGACTGGCCTACAGTTAAAGGCAGTAAGTCAATACATACTTATGCATTTTTTGCATATAGAGGGCACACATTCTATCGCTATGTGTATTCGAGGTAATCTTAATCTATTCGCCTTGGAGACACATTTCGCATCTAGCAAAAAATAAAATCATTTTTTTGTAAAAGCCACGAAGCAGGTGATCGAGGGATGTTGTGATATGAAACCCATACATGATAGTGTTATACTCAAATACCGCTGTGGTTAAATCTAAATAACGCGATATATAGAGGAACTGCTTTGGAAAATCGAAGTCAGTGGAACGTTATTTTCATACACATTTCGTTTGAGCGTAAAGCGAGCTAGAATCTATTCTTGCCGTGTATGTTGCTGGGTGACCTTACTCGCGCATGCGCTTGGTTTGTTCACATTAAGGTGTCGTCTGTTGCTTGATCTCCCGATGAACGAAATTTTGATTTGGGATTCGAGTTTCTCAAATTTTGGCAAGGGAAATTGGATCCTACGATAATTGGAGAGAGGAATGAATTGAGAGAAATTATTCACTCCCAGAAATTAACAACGATGCTACAGCCTCTGTCAGGGTGTTTAGAGAGCAAAGCCACAGTCAGCTGGCGCACGCGTGATAATAAATAAAAAAAAGCGATATTTACTATATGAGGGCCGCCATCGTTAATGCGGCATAAAACTAAATAAGAGACAAATTGTGAAACGCGTTTTTCAGATTCCTACAAATCAGGACAAAATGCCAATCTTTCACAGAAATACGATCCAATGGGGGGGGGGGGTAATATAAAGGCAACCGAAAATTCGGCCGAATTCGTATTTTTTGTGTGGAAGAATCCCTTAAATACGAACACCAAATTACACGAAGAACACTTTCTAGGGGTATTTGAAACAAAAATTTGTCATTCCAGCTCAGCAGCCAATCAGCGACGGCCTTACAGTTAGATGACAATTTCGGTTTCGAAACATCGAAATCGATATACCTTAATATATACCGCCGCCTCTAGTTACAAAGCGTTTTTTATGACGTGATTGGGTGACACTAAGGCCATTCAAAGCGTCGATATCGAAGATTATGGTTTTAAAAGATCTCACTCTATTCCTGCTGATGAACGACTATATACACAACCAAATACAGTGATCAATTTCAATGACATTGTCGACATATCCTCGTGCGGACATCCGGGCATTTTCACCGCCTTGCAACCATCACGGTAAAAACAAAGACCGAAAACTCTAGCAAAAACTGTACTTTAGGGTGGTTGCTGAGACTCTGCTGAACATGTGCAACATAGATAAATTTGGTTGTTCAGGATTATTTCAAAGTTGAGTTTGTGCTGTTTTCTCGACCCTAGCTGTTTTCACCGGTTCTTCGGCCGGTGTTCCACAGCAGCTCACGCAGTGCTCATAGAAATGCATTAGAGGCGGCGTCACTAAATTTTGCACGAGGGGCGAGATCTGAATAACCAACCTTGTGCCGAATGCGCGGCCTTTCTACGGCCTCCAGGGGTATACTCCACCTCAGCAAATCGCTATTTCCTGCATTTTGAGGGGCAAATTTTTACACAAAGGATTTCAGCTTTTTTTTTCGAGGGGCGATTGCCCCCCCCTCGTGTCGCCGCAACTGTACATGTCAGAGTGGTGCGCGCCTTAGCAACATAGAAAATTCTGTGGCGTAGCTTCACCCCCAAGAATAAGTCATGTTGATATCAAAAAAGCGTTTTATCAGTAAGAGGGCACATTTTATATGAATAGCAACAGTATGAACAGAACACTCAACACATAGTAGTGACAAGTGATATTTTCATTCGAAATTTGTCAATACACGTACGTATAATTTATAAAACTTTTTTTCTTTCATTTTCACATAGCTAACACGACTTACAAAAATGTTAAGTGTTTTTGTCAATACTGTATTGTACTTTGATTACAGATTTTCCTTTTGGAAAGCTTCCTTGTCTTGAAGTCAATGGGGATTATCTACCGGAATCCAATACAATTGCTCGTTATCTCAGTAATGAGTTTGGTAAGCAGTTATCAAATCAAGCTGGAAAAAACCGGCCTGCAAATTCAGGAGACAGGAAATTCAGAAAATACGCAGCCAAAATCCCTTAAAATCTAGCATAATTTCTAGCTTTTTGTAGTCATAATCACCGTAATTTTCAGATGTTTTTGTAATTTTAAGTCATCACAATAATGCATGGACATTATGACAATTTGTTGGCGCTATTCGCATGCGCTTAAGCGGATAAATACAACCGTTAGTCAATTACGTGGCATGACCTTTGTTCATTTTTTACCTTTTCTTTTTATGGCGCAATGTTTCCCATTTTACACCAGTTTTCAATCATACAACTTTATTCAAACCGGATATAACCCAGTGTCATTTCTGATTATTGAATAATCAGCTGTCTGATAACCATTATAAAACCGGTATATTCATGAAATAGATATTCTTCATACATAAATCGAACTTGGATTTACCATAATCATAATGATGAAACAACACATTTAACTGATACAATTTTATTCCTGCAACAGTGGTCCTTGAATATGTGTTAACTTCGTTTATAGGATTGGCAGGGAAAACGAAATGGGACAAGGCCCGTGTTGACATGATTACTGACGCCTTAGTTGATGTAACTGAGGCGATTTTTAGACGTTTTCAAGAGAAGGATGAAAAAAGAAAGGTGGGCAGACACAAGCTGTCAGTATGTGCATGAGCACAGAGTCATGCAATATCAAAAGAAGTTTTATTGACAATCTATCTTTTCCATTGAATGAAATACACTTCGATATTATTGACTACGTCAGTAAAGCGTAGGATAGAGTAAGCTGATTTCTAATGATCAATTTCCCGCATGGCTGTAATTATTTTAAAGGCAATATTACTTGAGGAGATAGGAACAAAGCTTGCACCAGAGTGCTTTGCGTCACTGGAGAAAATACTTGGTGCCAATAGAAGAGGAAGGGGTTTCTTTGTCGGTGAAGCGGTAGGTGTGACATTCTTACAGCGGCTTGCAACACAAAACTGCTTTTTTTTCAAGTTAGGACAGTGATCCATTTAGAAGAACGAAATATTTTCATTTGTTTCGCCAAATATTATTCTTATCATTCAATACTTTATATCGCGTTATTCATTTTACATTGCTGAGTGGATTTTAAACAAAGAAAAATACTGCTTATTTAATTTGCTATTGTCTCAAATGCATGTACGGTACATAGGTGTGGTTTCTATGACACAATCATAATCTTTCAGTTCAAGCGAAATCATGTAATACGGCTAGAATACTATTATAGGCTGTAATTGTACATAGTAATTACACAGTTCATTGTGTTTTTTGAATGAATTTCATATACCGCATACCAATCTAATTTTCATCTCTTATGATTTTTTCATAATTATTCATAATTGTTTAACAATTAAAATAAGTATCTACGTACACGTATCAGCGGTAAATATCCACAAGCGAAGTATTTGGTAGATCACGTTGCAATGTCTTCTTCAACTATATAAAATATTTAGTAACTGTAGATATTTGGTATTTTATTTCAGTTTACAAGGGCTGATTTGTATTTCATTAACACTGTCGACGCTGTGACACGGCACTACCCGGATATACTAAATTCCACGCCGATGCTGAAATCGTTGTACGACCGTGTTCGAGCTGCTCCAAAGATTGCTGAATATATCGAGAATAGAGCAAACACTATTATATAAAACTTCCTGTATTCAATTCCTTGTTCAGGCGGCAGTATTTGTTCCTCCATTGCTATAGTTTGAAATAGTATACATAAATAACTCTATTTCTTATGCATATAAATGCGTATCTTTCCACATATCTATCACTTTTGAGATTTATTAGACCTTCCGTATCGATGGAATATCGATTAGATTTTTATCTTCCAAAATAATTTACACACAAATTGCGTCTTTATTACAATGTCGACGAGCATATCAACTTACAGTGTGATCCGATCAAGCGAGAAGGGAGAGCACTCCAAAACGCCGATGACTTCACGGCTAGAAATTTTGAATATAAAAACCTCCCAGAAGAAAGTTCATTGTCGACATATTATAGCTTCGTCCACGCTCAAATCAAGCTATTCTTTGCATATACTAGTATTTTCCAGGTTAGAACGCATTGAAGGTTCATCCCTGTACGCAAATTGCTGATTGACTGCAATGATGGGCGTTGCTTAGGACGATATAATACGAGGCCTTTTATGGATATATGACTGGTCGAGATAACTTCACCTTCGTTCTAGCCTAGAACAATTAAACTGTATATAGCTGATAACACTAACAGATAATCTCTAGCCCTGACGTCATTGACACTGTGGGCATGTCGCCGTGGGAACTTTGCCATGCACTTACATTCCCATGTTGTGTGGCATCGTGACATCGGGTTCGTGGTTTCCATGGAACCAGCTTTGCAGTGCATTATAAATATATATATGATAGACAAAGTAAACGCTTGTTTGTAATACCATATCTTATCATCGGACTTTACACCACAGTCGAAGTACAGTAGACGTATTACGTGACCATGAATCAGCACAAGTATTAAATGAAAATGTTGGAAACTACCTGTACATTTAAAAATTGCTGTACTGTTTTTTTTTTTTTTTTTTAGTTTTTTTAGTTTTTTAGTTTGGGCACACTAGCGTGTCAACACATAATTTGGACACAACAAATATTCTGTCTTGATTCAACTTCACGATACGCGAAGTAACTATGACTACAGTCGTAAAAAGGTCATCAAGTACGAGGACATTCAATACGAGTCGAAAGGCTGGTCGAAAGAAACGAACAGTAAGTACAAATTCGAATAACAGTTTACCCACACCGCAGGGACAATGGATATTGAAAGGTGCTAAACCACGGTCTGTTGAGTTTAATTAAACAATCTTTGTATACTAATGCATTAGTACAATTAGTTCCCTAAATGTAGGTCTTATATATCTAGCGCCCTCATTTGCAATAGGTACAAGTTAATTTGTTTTTGTTTTGTTGAGGAGGGGGGGGGAGGCTTTCGTCACTCGCGTTATTTACATGATCCATAGCAAAATTGCATATTAATTAATTATTGCTTAGTGATTTTTCCTAAAGTTTCTGGAAAATAATTAATTTCATAATATGAGGTTATTACGAGGATGCCTCATCGTATGCAGGAAGACAGTACAGCGAAGTATCAACCGACGCAGCGATACTACGATATTATTGTACATCTTTCCTCCTAATGACATATCTTGGGAATGCCGACATTGAAAAAGTTTAGAACAGAATCAGCAAACTTCTTTGTATGGAGTCCGGTTAAACTCCGGTGGCAGCCACGTGTGTTTATATCATTAGAGGACGCTTACGCGTGTAATCATTCCATATTTGGAATTCGCATTTCCTAATATGGTAGGATGCAAATACCCCGTAAAAAAAAACGCAAAATTACGACATGCTATAACTTATGGCGTTACGGTGACAGATGTATAATAATACTCATTATTGCTTGATAACATGCAAATCAGAGACCATTATTTAAGCGTACATCCCCGTAGGCAGTGAATATGCGTGCAGTGGCAGCTTGAGAAGGAAAAAGTCTGCATTTAAGTCAGGACGTCGTAGAAGCTTGTATGCAAGTTATACGCTGTAAGTCCAGAGTCAAACGACATAGAACACGTTGATCAGGTGATTTTTCAAATAAAAATGACTTAATGTGAAAGCGTCATATCTAGCTTGTTATTAAAAAGATACTCGCACAAGTGGTAAACTATTATATATTATTGGGCCTGTCTCGCACACATATACTTAGAACGTTAGAGAACTGACATACGATCTGCACAGTAAATACTTATTGCAAAGACACGAGTGTACGTATATTTCATCACGGGTAATGACATGTGTGGCCTCGTGAAACAGTCTCGAGGGTTAATAGACTTATACTAGTGGCCGAATAAACCCATGCAATATGTGTTTTATAACACATCACCCACTCATACTCGTACTATTCATCAACACATGATTCATATCATCACGTTTCAGTATGAGTGGAAGCATTGTCTTTGGAATAATAAAGATTTTAATTCGTAACATTTTGTATACGTTCACAATATGTGGACTTTTATTTGAACACGCAATCTAAATATATATATATATATCATTATTTAACTGTGTCAGGTTCTAATAGTTGTGGATATTAACTACACAACTATGAAAGTTACACTATTGTTGCTATTTTGGATTTCTTGATGGGATAGAACATTAACAGGCACGACGGGTGAGTTGATAAGATCGTTGAGAATGTGTTCTGACGATAAACTGAGCTTGCCTTTCTTGGACGACGTCGTTACGTATGATATGCTAGCTGGCTGAGGTGAACTACCTTGGATCTCAGTAATAAGATCACGACTCATTTCTCTCTATAGCATCCTATACTTCTTAATATGCTGGACTCGGATTTATGACCATTCACTCCCACTATGTCGTGCCTCGAACCCGCTGCTTTCTAGAGCTTCCCATGAGAATTAATAACTTTCATGGCGCAACTATGGTAATATAGTCGATACCACGTGACACGGATTTTAATAATGGGTAGCGTGAAACTAACGAGAAGAGGTGAAAATCGCCTCCACCCACTGAGTGTTGAATACGATAGTTATTGAATGATTGCACACAATATTCTTCAATGTAATTATCCGCACACTATTCTGCATCAATGTTAGATGACGGTGGAGAATAGAAGAAACAGAGAGAAAAAAAATCCGACGTAACATCCGGCCTGTTATTCAATGAGACCAAACTAGAATTAGGGTAGTAGGGTATCTGTAAATCAAAATGCGTTGCACTTTATTTATATATCATGTCACATATTTCCACGTATACTTATTTTATTATGTGATTCAAGATGGCTGTTATCAGCCCATCAAGAGAGAATAAATATTTGGCATTGACGGCATTTCGTTTTTTTTTCAAGCGCACATTGCTTTATTTTTCTCCTAAAAGCCTGTGATATACAATCAACACGCAAAACATTTTTTTGATCTATTGAAGTATGGATAAACAAATAATTGAAATGTTTAAAATTTTTGCCGGAAACCAATATGGCAGCGAAATCACGTGACTGTCTGAAGGAGTTCAATGTAGGAATGCAACATCATAAATTTCACCTCAATCGGGAATCTATAAGGCCAGTTTAAAGCCATTTTCTGTTTAGAAGACGCCCATTGTAGCGGCCAAACCATTTATCAAGCATAAAGGGCTTTTACAAAAAAAATCGAAGTTGAATATGACGAGGAAGTTTTGTTAACATATCTTTATTTTCACGTAATCATTGTTCAATAAATGTTTCATTTTCTATATAAAATTGTATTACAATAAAAATTGTCATTCAAATTTTTCATTTGACAATTTAAAGTACATGCTTTCAGTGTAAAAGTGTCATATGATGTAAGTGTTCACATTGTTTAGTATCCAATTAAATAATAAATGAAGGTAAAACATCGAAGAAAAAGTTAAACATTTATTTGTAGATCATCACTGAATCCGTTTTGCATATTGAATATTCTTCAAAGCTACGCAGTAGGCAGTGTGTACTATTGCGAGAGGTTATGTCATCTACGTAATAGGTTGTGTCGTGACGTAGTAAAACGGATGTGCTTGACGTTAGGGTTAGGCTTGTAAGTTGAACAAGTACAAAGATTACAGTCGTCGTCTGTATATGGCAATAAGTAATACGTTGCATCCAGAGTAATTGTTGAAATTTTTAGTCACACATAAATCCATAAATCAGTGCATTTGGATGATGATACTCCTTCCGAGATGTTGAATGGATGTGGATTTAAGCAGTAGGTACGTCAGCAAAAACTCCTGCGGCAAATCCGACTACCACGACCCGCCGTGTGCCAAAAAATGGGAAATTATAAGTGTACGTGTTAACTTGAAGTAATCGTTTTCTGAACTAACTAAAGAATGTGAAACATATGTTCTAATATATTAAATAGACAATCAAATACCGATATATCCATGGAATATAGGGATAAAATAGCGTATATACTTGTGTTTTCAACATTACTCGAGAAATAAGAATGTATAAACTAATAAAAATGAAAGGAATAGAAATCAAAGCGAATTAATATTTTTCGTTATCTTGGATCAGATTTGCTGGTATTCTTATAGGTATACCATGGAGACAAAATCGGGCTTTGGTTTTCATTTAATTATGTTGTGCTTCGTCCCCAGAATAATTACTTGCGGTTTGCTTAGTATGTGCAAAAGACATTATATAGGCAATATACAGAGACATATAACTGCATCCCGCCTGAATATTCTACAACTGGTTGCAACTGACATTAGAACCTAATAAATATGTTTACGATGGACAAATCTTAGATCAACGACGTTACTATATAGCACATTGTTAACATTAGAAAAAGTGAGTAGAATGCCTTATATCGAGAACGGGTGACCCAAATGGAGTTAACAGTCGATTGAAGTCGATGTAAGTGTATGATATCTTTATCCGTTGATTTTCAAAGAAAAACAAGTCTGTGACAAAGTACATAAATTAGATACATAAACAAGTAGATTGTAAACATATTTCGTACATCGTATTTTTAAAAGCGGGTTGCAGAAACAACTGGAGAAAGTGTTATTCTGCGGTTGGGGGTTTGTTGTGCATCTAGAGGTTTGGGTAATAGACAACGACCCACCAAGAGACACTATTC